TTATAAATTATTTTCTTATTTCGTTGCACTTCCATTTTCGAGAGACTTTTATTTCCTACAGTAAGGTATTCCACGTTTTAAGTTATTCCGTCATTCCATGTTTAAGGATATTCCGCCATTCCACCGTTCCACCAATCTACCGTTCTATTATTCCATAGAATATGATCAAAATATCGTATTTCGGACCTTGCTCGTTTCAAAAATAAGCGGCTCTTCTGAGCATTAGTCGCTGGGTTAAATGGTAAAATGCTCTCTCTTCGAATAAAATTACTTTTTCAAATTTTCCGGGATATGCAATTCACGCTTATTTAGATATTCTGCAAGGAAAAGTTTCAGTTTTCAAGACGTCAGTACTTTGAGATGTTTATCATCTTTCGCATTGTCACGGCAAGAACTGAAAAAATTAAATCTCCGGAAATACTAGGCATAGCTCTCTGATTCAAACGGTAAAACGCTCTCTCTTCAAGGTATTAAAATTAAAGTAAATAAGAAGATAGTTTTCATCAAGATTTTCTTGATACGCCCATCCCAGCCATAAGATATTTCTGCAAAGACTGTGAAATGTTTATCGTCTTCCGTAGTGTCACGGCAAAAACTGAAAAAATGACGTCTTCGGATTTATTAGGCTCTAAATAATTTGTTTCAAAGGCTTTGTTCTTTCTTTAGTGTACGCTGTACCCAACAATCTCTGGAGCGAACGTCGATCTACAAAGATTCTCAAAAATGAACAGTAAGCGAAATCAGGTCAAAATTGGGTGAAGCTCAGCATCATCTCGTTACTATCACTCAATCATTTTGATAGCATATATGGTGTCGCCCGCCATAGGAGGCAATAGCCACAAAAATTTGAAAAGATCGATGTCTGGCTTTCGCACAAATCGAGAAGACACCCATCTGGGCACGTGAGAAAGAAAAAAGCGACTTGACAAGTTCGAGTGCCTTAGCTTCTGAAGGCGCGCGAGAAGATAGAAGATCGCACGCGAGGGAAGTGTCGCGTTCTTAACTGCGATTGCGAGTCAATCGAGGTGACGCCTTTGAAACCAGTGTACCACGCTAGAACTGTTACTTATAATCGGATTTAATGAATATACTCTAAATCACATACCACGGGTTTGGAAAACTAAAAAATGAAAAATCTACGCCCAAATAAACAAAAATGCTTGAATCCAAGATGTGAGAAAACGAATTAACGTCTAGAGAACCAATCACTTAAGTTGTCCAACTCTTAAGAAAGTGAAATACGAAGTATTCTACTGAGCTTACTGTTCTTAGATTGATTCATAGCCTCCATGTATTCTTCTGCTGTATACGATTACTTTACAAAAATTAGTTTTCTCGGCAAATTCTCGAATTACAACTATCAAACATTAACTAACGAAATGTGTAAGCGTGACTCGCATCACAGGAAGAGAGAGCACACTAACCCTCGCTGTCCTATTACTTTTTCTCCTTCCTACGAGTGGCCCTGGAAATCGCACTGCGTTTATACTTAAAAAAAGAAAAAGCGACTGCAATTAATTCATCACAAGATATGAATCCTATTTCTCTCTCTTCTCGTATTTTCCATTTTATTTGTTCTGTTTAATGTCTTACGCCATCAGATAGCTGACGTTTGAACAGCAAATGGTTAGCGCACCATATTTCTTTTCCCCTTAGAATTTCGTTAGTGGCTCGATGCATTTACCATTTCTGGCGGAGCGATACCTCCCCTTCTGCATAACATGTGAATGCAGTATCAAGTACAAAGTAAAAACGTGACTAAATTTCTGTACGCCGAGGTTTCCTTCCTAGGAGAACGTAATAGTTGTTGATTTCTTGATGTTTTTGTTCTGTATGGGTTGGCTAAAAGCACAAAGTTTTAAAACGCATGTGCTGTGCTATTGTTTTTCTTGTTAAAACTTTGGGTTCGCCACGTTCTCATTGCCGTCGTCGTTGTAGTTTTCTAATTGCTTAGGGTTAGTGCGCGTAGGAGCTGCGCGTGGGTGAGCTTTGCACATACAAATGTATTTATGACGTCAATTGTGCACTTCGAATTCATTGACTTCGTTCAGCTCTGCGTTGAATCACTTTGTTTATTTGGGGCTAAAGAACAAATTTGATGAACAACTGTTTCAAAAGAGGGGTAATTCCAAGTTTTTAGGGAATTTCTCTCTACTGTTACTTTGCCGGAAATGAAGGTAAGTAATGCTGTATATTCTTTAAGCCGACTATTCCGCCATTAGCAGTTGTTTATGGAAAAAAAAGTTATCGAAACCTCTACTTCAATACCTAGTGTGAGTGGAGGATGCCTAGTCTCTACTACTGAAGAAATATATGATGCGTCAGCATTCTTCTCTCTTTAACGCAATGAGTTCACATAAAGTTTGGGTGAGAAGATGGCTGACACTTCTCTGAAGGAAGAGCTAGACATCCTTACCTTTTTTAAAAACACTGTTAGTATCATTCATATACGATGACAAGAAATCTTCATGTGCAGCCGAGAGAAAAAAAATTATTTTCTCGTAGTGCAACCAGGAGCCCATTAGAAGTAATGGGCTCCTGGTGCAGCTTAAGACTTTTACTGTCTCTATGGTAACGAATTTGGGGTATGGAAGTATGGACTGGGTATGAATGTAGTCTGGGAATTAGTACGTAGCTTGATTTTTCGATTTTGCGTGATACGAATGATACGATTCTGAAAAGGGTTAAACATTAGCTCTTAGTCGCGCCTCCCTCCCCCCCCCCCCCCCAGAAAACGCAATAACTCTCAGGCAAATCGAGAACAAGTATTTTCTCTACGGACTGATTGATTGTAACTTTATCTGTATAAGGTAAAAAATTCCTTCGGCACAATTTACCAGTAGAACATCTCATTCTCCCTAGCCAATCCAACTCATGAAATAAGATTAAACCTATCAGGTCTTGAGGCTATTTTTTAGGGATGTCGTGTCTCATTCGAATTGGGATGATGTAGTTTGCGTTTGAATTCATCTGAGGAAGTTACAGAACGCAGGTCGTGGGGTAGACTTTCCCACACCTCAACACTTCAGCCAATTTAGATAAACATAAATAATTCCTTAGTTTTTCGAATTTTTCAAAAAGTTGCGGCGCGATTATTCACGTGTAATAGTGGTCACTAATCGTTTAGTTGTCAAGTATTGAAATTTGATTAGATTGGATTTTATCATTTATCTTGGTAATGCAACAAAATTGTACAGCAGAAAGCAAAACAGGCATTTCAAGAAGACTGCTCAATGTCAATTAACAAAGTGGTACAAAAAATTACGGGTCCTGAGGGAGAATTCGGACTTGAAACCTCATTACGCTGAATCAAAAACCAGCTTGATAAAATATTTTATCAAAATGACATTTTCAAACCGAAAAGAAATTTAAAAAATACTCGAATTAGAGGCTAAGATGAATAGCCTACTTCCAAGATCTGGTGTCAAAAATGAGGCTCAAAAACGAGGCTAATTAAAATGCGATATCGCTTTCGACAGCGTGAGAGCCTTGTTCTGGCAGATTTTAAAATTTCGTCACCAGATCTCTAACTCATGAAAACTCGAGAATGGGCTATTAACTTAACGTCTTGGAGCGCCCGCTGGAGTAATAAATGACGTTTGAATTTTCATTATTTCGTCAGTTTCACATTTTGTTTTGCTTCACAAATCGATTCCATATTTCGCGCTTCGGGAGAAATTAACTCTTAGAAAAAAAAGAAAAAGTTAGACCTTCGACTGTTTTTTATTTTACTTTTCTTTGGAACATTCCTTGCCAAAAGTGTTACCAGCGAAAAGGTATGTTACGGCTTTATGAGTGATTACTTACTACTGGACGAAAATTTAGATGGTTGCCAAGAATCCAATACAGGGAATTTATCTCTCCTCCCTATTCTTTTAGAGTTCTGAAAACTTTCCTTTATTCTTAGTAGTGGCGATTTAGCAATTATCTATGAAATTTATCTTTGTTCTTCTGTAGGCTACCGTTTCGTTTCGTTATCATGTACGTCGTTACATAATGAACGTGAGATGCAATTTGTTCATAAAGTCTGTTGATCTTTTTCTCTCTCACAAAAGCCCGCGACGCACTTGGCAAAAATCGCCAGGTCTGCCAATAGTAACTGATTGCAATTTTCGCTGATCGACACGATCTGCGTTTAAAATCCATTATCTTTGATGTCAGGTATCAGCGATTTTCGCTGACGATCAAATCGATTTACCGGCGATCAAATCATTTTTACCGGCGATCAAATCGATTCGCCGCGATCGGCCTCTAAAATCACTAAGTGTGTCACCGGTCTAAAAAACAAAGAACCAAGCAAGCGAAAGAATTATGCCCCATTAATTAAACTCATGGAAGATGACGATAGTAATTTGCTACGAGAGGAAATCCCACTCGACAACATTGTTGATGACACAGCGGATGTGATCAGAGAAAGTCCCTCTCGAGTACTTATTATAATCAGCGCCTTTTTCTTTCACTCACTTTACGACCGGCAATACACAGCCGCTCGAGGAGAATCTTTCCCGAGAAGTGGTTGGATCCCTGATCTCGAGTGAAGTTTGTTAGGTGTGTTTTGCGTTATATTATAGTATACCGCTGGAACAATTTAACTAAGAGGATAAACCGAACTAGTTTAACGCGCGACTAGCGAGCATGTGTTCTGAGACTTTCGAAAATTGAAAACACATCGTGGGCATTTGGTACACGTACGATTAACGCATGCGCGGGTGTTTACGGTTTCCAGCTCTCCTCCGTTGCTTTTTCTGAAGTTTATTTATTTTGGAGCTAAGAGTTTCTGTTTAGCGGTATTTGGCCTATTTTGTGAAGGGATTTTTCCGTCGCTGCTTTCGAACTGGATGTGTTTAACATATAGACCCGTGATGCCTTGCAGATACCACTTAATATCAATCCCTTAATCAAATTAATAAGCCCTTTCTCTTATCTTACGTGCATACCGAAAGAAAAATGCTGCCGTATTTCTATCAGAAAGAACAACAATAAAAGCGAAACAATAAAAGATGTTTCATAGACTTCAAAGGGTCTTCAAACCGAATTCATGCCCACAACACGAGGCCATACGTTCCAACGATGATGGCATCCTTGATACAATTAACTGTGAGTAAACTGTAAAATTCATTATTTCATCATATAGACTGCAAAATCAGGGCTTAATTTGCGAAATTTCATTTAGCTGGTACCCATGGAAGCGATAAGCTGATATTGTTTTCAGTTATTTTACTCATACGTTTTTGTGTGGAGAAAATATCACCAAAAGACCTCCAAGAAGTAAATCAGGCTTGTTTGAGTAATGATATCAGTTGGGAATGTTTTTAAGTAAAGTTTCAAGTTAACAATGCCAAGTGCACTCGAATGAAAACGCTTAGAAGTGGTGCTTTCGGAAAGTGGGAACTTCCCCAGACAACTTTGACAAAGAAAAATAATAAGTCGACTTTAAAAAACATTTTTTTATGTAATTGAAAGCCTCAAGTGATGGAGATACATGGCTGAATCATTAGATTTCAAACTAAATTTGAATTTTGGATGGCAAAGATTCTTTTTAAAATTATTCAGTCAAAGATAGCAAACCTGTGTGCAAAGTATAGTGCTTTGTTTATAATAAAAACATTTGCATCAAAATAAGAAGCTGATTGATTCATCGAGTTGCGGATAATCTTTCTTTAACTTTATTTATATTTACTGTAATTTTTCCTTCCATTGTTGCAATTTCAAAGTCATTATAGCTTGGACCTCTGCGAACTTATTCAAATGAACGCTTCTTCGATGGAGCTATAATGATATTATTTATTTACTTAATATATTATGGAATTCCTTATCATATACGGAGGCAAGTAACATTTTTATACTAGATATACTACCATTCGCACCAATTTTGTCTCCGCCCACTTTTTTCGCGGACACCGTCATCAAACTAGCGTCGCGTCTGATGCACGTACTGAGGGAATATTGCTCACTGAGAGAGTTGTGTGGAAACTCGATTGACTTGGGTGGAGCCAGCAGAACAGAAAAGGTGTTTTTACGCCTGATGTTACCGATATTTATCAGACTGGGGCCGGGGCGTCCAGGTAAGATTGTTAAAGAGGGAATTGTTTCTTGGTGCCGTGGAATTGCTTCCATCAGGATGAAACTATTCGTGAGATATTGGTTACATGCCCTATGAATAAAGCGTCTTTGTAGGGATTTTAGACGAGCTCATAAAAGTGAATCCTCTGCTGTTCAAAGTATACGTTACAATATGCTGATTACTGTGAAATATAAAATAATAATGTTGTCATTGAGAATGATCAAAGGAGACTTGTTGTTCTTGAATTTTGTAACACTAAAATTCGATTTATTAATGGTTTATCAATTCTTCAATTGATTCGAAAGGGGCTTTTGGGAAGGTGAGATTGGCCTACATCTGACAAATGACTTGACATGTGCTCATTTCAGATGCTCCAAAGGCGTCCTTCGAAGACGTCTCCTATGCGCTGAGTTGTTTCTTGTTAACAGTGGTTACGAAGAACCCATCCACTCCCGGGACTGGTCCAGTGCGGCTCTCATTTTCCGATGAAGACCTGGAATTACCACGTTCCCTGACGTTTGCAACACCTCACGAATCCACGACATCATTTGAGGAGATTTCAGAAAGCTTGTACTGTGCAGCTTATCTTGGTAAGCTTTCTGTTTGTTTATGATTTGCGGAATATAGATTTATGCTTAGAAGGTTCGGCCAGAATCCTATGTATGGGAATAGGCAAACTAGTTTTCTAGGCCTGAGTAAACTATGAAAAGAGATCAAGTCTTAAAGCAAGTAACGAAATTAGAGCTGAACGTCACGTTCATTTACTTGGCCCCGGTTGTTCAAAGGGTGGATAAGCTATTCACTGGATAAATTTCCATACTGTGGATAGTGCAGTTCGTATTTTTCTATACTTATCCGCTGGATAGCGAGTTATCCGTTGGATAGCGTTATCCGGACTATGAACAATCGAGCCCTGGCCTGATCGTTTCCTTTAGTGATCAGAGAATTTTTGATTTTTGGAGAATCCTCGTCACTTCTCTTCTACCCAGAACGTGTGATACTAGTCGTAAACTTGAGTCGGAAAACAGGATATCACAGCTCGTAAAAAAGTCCAGAAAAAGACTAAACTATGTGCTATGTAAAGGAAAAATAGTGTTCCTATCCCTTCTTTCCTATTGCTGTGCGCAGTATTACTGTGGAACTAGGTTTTTTTTGCAAATATTCCATCTCATTTGAATTTTCAGGACTAAAGGTACTGATGGTCTGCTGTGAGGATCGTCTGGCCACTGAATGGTACAGAATATATCAGGCCATGGAAACTATAGTGGCGGGGCAGATAAGTAAGAATTCGCATCATATCTGAACTTTTTTGATAACAAAAAAACTTTGATGCGCCATAATTAAAAAATAATTAGTCCTTGCTCTCCTTAAAGTTCTCTCAGGGGATTGCTCTTTACGGAAAAAGATTTCTTGGGTATACCACGTTTCCACGAATAAGCGCATAGGCTCTTAGTTATAATTTCAGCTAAAAAGGGCGCGTATTGGAAGGAGGAGCGCGTAATCGAGGGGACGCTCATCAAAAAATTACTAATCTGCACCGATTCCTTTGTTAACAAAATGGCAATAGAAACAGATTCCCCGAGCATTCCTACAATAGAAGAAAGTGAAGTAGGAAGGGGGCGGCGGTTGTTCGATATTATGGTCAAGTGGGTGGGCGGAGGGTGCGTATTAGAGCGTGGGCGCTTATTCGAGAAAAAACGGTATTCACAAGGCTATCTTGACTATATTCATAAATATATAGTTTTATCCACTCAAAAAACCTAGAAATAGTTTAGTTTCAGTTTTGTTCGGGCAAAGTAGAGATCTAAAGGGTTTGGTACTCATCACTCTCCTATGTTCATATTTGGCGAGATATGCCTAAGGGATGCCAATAGCTGGCTTAAGGTATGCATGTACGAAGATTGAAGATGCTGCCGGAATTGAATAAGGTCCAGTTGCATGGTTTGCGAGCCAGTATTGTATGCAGGCTTCACTTTTACCGGACAGAAACCTGGACTGACTCGACCGGAAGTGGGCTGCTTCTTATGGCAGTCAAAGATGAAGCCACCCGGCGTAACTACCTTCTCACGACGTGAGCGGAATTCTAACTTCGTATAACTTGCTAGGCCTACATGCCGCTTAACAAAAGTTTCTTTTTCATCTTTATAGCTAATGTAGGTTTTTGGGACTTCATGAATTTCTGCGTGTCATACCGGACTCCACTCTTCTTGTTGATTTGCCCGCTCATTAGAACAAAGGTATGTCATGTCCCTAACAGTAGTCAATACAAATATATGTTGGATGTTGTGCTAGTTAATTTTCACTGACCCCCTCGATTTTCCCTCCATTTCTCATCTGATTCATCGTCTCTAAAATTTACGTGATGCAGGTCTCTCATCTCCGTCCCAAAAACAAAACTGAACGTGCTCTCAAGCAAAGAGTGTTGACCAAGATATCACGCCCACCTCTGGTCGTGAACTCTCGCAATGCTCTCATCACCCGCTTCCTTGAGGAACTATCTTTCATCAAACAGAAGCGCCCAGCGGCAGGCTTTCAAGATGTTGAGGAAGGCGAAGAAGAAGACGTGCAGAAAGAAGAAAAGAAGCCGCTGGTACTACAGGCTCCCCCTCTAGGCAGAGAACGCTCCTCCAGTGCACCGGAGGAACCAGCTACTGATTCTAAGGACGTGAAACTCCCGCCCCCACTTACACGCTCTGTTAGCCTGAAAGCGAAAAAAACTGTGTCATTTTCGCCATCCCCAAGCTTTGAAGATGATCGAGGATCTGCAGCTTCATCTCTCGGCGATGTTCGCAGCGGGAAAGAAAAAAGGAAAAAGTGGCTTTTACGTAAACAGGAAACAGTTGAAGAACAAGATGGTAACAATGAAAAGGATCTCATGGATACTAATACAAGCCAAGGCCCTTTTGCGCACCAACGAGGTACTACCATGAGGCCTGGAAAGGTGCCCACAGGAAGAGGGCCCCGAAGTGGCTTTGAAAAACTGCGAGCTGTAACATCAGAAAGGAAATCATCGAACCCATCGGCTGAGGTGGAAACTAAAATCGAGAGCCCAACCAGCGGAATTGTGGAGAGCCAAGGCGAGAGATTTGAAATGAAGTTTTTCGAGACAGATATTTTGGTCACTGACTCTAAGATGGAAGCAGCCCCTGAAAGAAAACGCTCTCGATAGAACGCTGACGCCCCCGATAGCGAAACCCGAGTCTGTGATGATTACCCTGTCTCCTGACGGTTCACCGTCTGGACAGTCTCCAGCCAGTGAGATGAAGCATCCGTATCCAGACATTTTGGAGTCCTTAACACCATTGTCTCCCATTCCTCCTGTAAAATTCAGCTCACAATCGGGTGAGAAGCACGATTCTGAGAACGCAAGGAATGGAACGATTGCGCCTGAAAGCAACCTTGCAGCGGATTACGACGTAGAGCGTGCACAGCGGCTGAACAAGACTCGCTGGTGGAACAAAGTTTATTCCAATGTTGAAATAATTTCCACTGATGAAGACAGTCAACGGTTTCAAAGTTTTGAAATTTCTCTATCAGAAGTATCTGAAGTGCAAAGGGAGACGAACGTATGACTTACGAAAACTAGTATCAGCATGTGTAAAGAATACGACGTGAACCACTTCTTCCTGTTGACGGCAAATCATCTTGGGGCTGGCATAGATGAATTTATTATTCCACCATTACTCCATTTCACCGTATTAGGGCGGTGGAACACGAAAAATACGCCGCGGTATTTCTGTAAGACAGGATAAAAAACGGACGCAAAGCAAGCAATAAAATAACGGCATTAAAATACTTAAACTTTCTTTTTTTTTCCTTTTTGGTTGCCATGACTTTTTTTAGCTACGAATTGTTGAACCAGTCTTATTTTTTCTGTTGATTCTGTTGATACTAAAGAACCCTTAAATTGTTTCCTTTCTGTTGTTTTCGTTTTTCGCGTACGCCTTATGTGATTGATACGATGCTCAAATAAGGCCAAAAAAAAGTATTTCCAAAACTAGAAGCCAGACTACTGCTTAGTTCATCCTTTGTGAAAATCAGGAAACAGATAGGAAATTTTCCCTTTTATTACAAGATGTTTTGCCGCAGGATTTATTTTGACGACAACCAGGCAAGCCCAAACCAACTTTAAAAGGTTACCGAAATCAATACTTAATCCGAACGTCTTGTAGAACTACTCGATATATTTCTTTTTCATTAACTGTAGTTTTAAAGAAAGAAAGGTGTTTACGTATTATCAATAATATTAGCCTTGTGTATACAGGAAACACAGATAAGTAATTCAAACAAGTTCAGGGTATTGCTGCCTTCTTCATGGTTAAACGGCGACCGCTTTCCTCTTGAGCTGTCGCCCCTTGAGGTTGATATCGTTCCCGCGTCCAAAGGACAAACTCCTGAAAGACGATCACTCCATTGCCGTTGTTGTCCATTTTATCGAAGAGCTCTCTTATGTGAACGTCATGCATTGGTGCGTTTAATTTTTTCATTCCTACCACGAAGTCCTCTTTACTGAGCTTGAGACCATCGCGGTCTTTCGACAAAATTTTGAACAGGTCGATCAAACGAAGCCCTTTCGTGCGAATGAAGGCCAAGTATACGTCCAGGATCTCAGGTCGCTTGGTTTGATCTGAGAGTCGTTCTCCTGTTATACTGATATCCCAGGAACAGGTGAACAATGGCCTTCTCTCAAGGAGAGCTTCGAGTTCACGTGCACACTCCTTATCAAACACGATATCATCGAGTTGAAGCTCTTTTAAGGCGCTGGATGTGTTCTTTTGAATGGCCATCAACAGGACGCGTGCGCCGTAACTTTGGAAAGGATTTCGTCCAGCTTTTAGAACCTCCAAGCTTTTGTTTGTCCTTAAGAATTTGGCTATGGCCGCAACACCGTTCTTAGCGATGCAGTTACTTCCAATATCCAGGACTTTGAGTGTCTGGTTACACGACAGTGCCTCTTGAATAGCAGTAACGCCGTCGTCTAGAAGACCATTCCAAGCAATGTTTACCTCCCTAAGGCGATTATTACTTTTCAAACCCTCGGCCAATGCTCGAGCCCCTTGAACACGAATGCTATTCCAACTGACGTCTAACATATCAAGAACCGCGTTGACTTTGATGGCTGAACCCAGAAAGGTGGCTCCTTTATCACCGATGTCGTTGTATGATAAATTCAAGTAGGTCAATGGTGCATCTAACCTTAAAGAGTTGCAAAACACTGCAATCCTTTTACCTTGCAAGTTGCACTTGCTGACGTTTAGTTCCTTCAGTGTGTCGTTCTGAAGAAGCATGTCTCCGAGTTCGTCTGCAGCTTGCTGGCCGATGTGGTTTCCCGACAAATCGACTTTGCTGATAAAAGGGTTCCTCTTCAACATTCTTGCAATGTATGTCATTCCTTTGTCGCCGATGCCGTTGTCATGGAGATTTAAGGTAGTTACATTTAAACATCCTTTCAACGCCATACTAATAGCTCGTGAGCCAGAATCTCCAAGGCCATAATGGTTTAATTCGATATCCTTCGCCACACACTGCTTAAGAAACTTAGATGAAGGCACAATGTTATTACTCTTGCAGGCCTCAAGGTAAACTTCCTGTGTTGAACGTGAGAGGTTGACGAGGTCCTCCCCTTCGTTCTCTTCGTCGGGGCTTTCGTCTTCCAAGTCCGTTTCGTAAAACTCGTCTTCTTCCATAGTTCGACTTCTAGTTCATAGAAAGGTTATGGGGTTTTTTGTCCTTTGTGACTGGATTCATTTGGCATCATTACTCCTCTGTAAGCTTAGTATTTCATTCGTCTATCGGCAGACTGACCTTGTCTTCGCTGTTTTCCTGCTTCCATACAGTGAAAAAAAAGAGAGATATCTACCCTGGGCTAACAAAGGTATTTCAAGATACTTACAACGTGTATTTTCAGCCTCAGATAGATTTGACTGAGGTACGTGTTAGTGTTGAGTTTCCCTGGAAAAGGCCCCAGCACAAGACAAGCAATCAAATATAAGATTATCAATCTCCTTTCGTTCTGTTTCTAATTTAGCTCCACAATTATGTAACATAGGTTTACTTAGCGGCGTTGACAAATTACTTAGTCACAGGGCTTCTAGTAACATAGGATTTATTATGACAGTGTCTGTAGACTTCGATTGGAGAACATCATATTTAATGAGTACATATTAGCCTGAAGCTTGCTGAGTTACTCACCACTCAAAAACAAAACACTCATTAGAGACTTCTTTTAATTATTGTATGAAGGATGAATGTCATCAATGATAATACAGACATCAATATAATTACTTTAACCTTGCAGTGTTTCCCTGCGTGGGGTCTTGTTGAGGCAAAAGGTTTGAAACAAAGCTGCTAAATAATTCACTTTGTTTCTGTTTCTGAGATAATGAGAGGTGGAGATGTTTATATAGTAAATGTTTACATGAGACAAAAACTTCTCTTTGATAAAAAAAAAATCCACTGATTCGGAGCAGAGCTCCCTTAAAAATCTCGAAACTGGTGCAATATCTAAGTTTTGGCACGTTTGAAAATAAATTTCCTCTTGTGTTTTATAGAAATCTTTTTCCTCCGTAAAGTTCTCCTCAAGGTCTGTGTCGTATTCCTCGCTATTGCTTTTCAAATGAACTTTGTTTTGTGTTCTGCTCAAATTTTTATTTCTTCCGCTTTACTGTAATCCGTTCTGCTTCTTACAACGGAGAAAATTGTCTTTCTTTCATGTGTGTAATTTCACAGGACAGATGAAATAACCACTTTTAATTTTACCGCACCTGCGTTTCCACATTTCATCCTTTGCGCAGTGCTATGGAAAGAATTTCTCGCTTTTCACGAAATAATATTTAAAACCCGTTGTACATAATAGAATATTAATAATTAAAAGATCCCACCACCATAGTTTGCTAATTACTTGCAATTATTAAGCGTTTTTGTAGGAAATAATTACTTTGAAAGACTGATAACAGTCAAAACCCTATCCTCCACTCGTTTACTTTGTCGGCAGCCCGAGATTCTGTTAGGCTCAGCCATAATAGACATTTGGAGCGAAAAAAAGTTGTTGATTTATCTCACAAGACGAAGTCAGTGCGAAGGGTCTGTGACGGTGTGTTAGGACATTAATATACCAAAGGTTCCAAACCTCGATATTTTATTACAATAAATAACGGATGAATGTTATGACAAAATTCATGGATATGGATCGAAGATTCGAAATCTGTAAAGTAATGCGTTAACAAATTAGTTTCAGTTCATATCGATAATATCGAAAGAAATCAAGATAAATATTTACCCATTGGTTCTAGGTGTCCATAACACTGTCTAGCGATAGAAAATCTTAACAATTATATCTGTTATGTCATCAAATTATAATGCGCAAAGAAATTAGAATTTTGCGCAATACAGGGTCTTTGCCACAGCTTTAGTATGTTGAACAATTTAGCCTCAACTTTTTTTTGTGTGTTTTCATTTTTTTTGTTTTATTTTCTTTTGAAATCTGAGTCAATATTCTCTCTATAAAACAATTATCTTTTTCCCTTTGGTTCATTCCTACCCCTTTGCTGTATGTACATCTCAGTAAACTATATTTACTTCTTGACATAAGTAGTAATTTCGTGATTTCAAATTCAATCACGCGAGAGTGCCTCGTATTCCCACGCTTTTTGCCGCTGCCAAAACCTAAAACATTGAATTTTCACCTGCTTTCTAGCATCTTTTTTCACATTTCAGTCAACGTTTTCATTAATTAGTGTCATGCTTTTAGTGATCCTTTTTCGCGTGATGCCTTTTTTTATCAAAGGAAGACTCTGAGAAAACCGGACGAAGTAGGTATTTTTTTCGAGGTATAGGGCGAGGTAGGGTGGGATGAAAGAAATGGTTTCTTTTCAGTTATGCTTGTAAACTCGTTGTCAACTCAACGAGTAATCCCAGAACTCCTTGCTTACATGTAAAGTATGACGTATTGCAGTGCGCTGGATGACAGAAAGCTAAAGCTCCTGTACTTCAGAATTATGTTTGTACTGCCTGTGAAACTTTCATGAGTACCTCTGTAAACATAACCTTAAAAATGGCTAGCAGGCATAATTCCAACAACCCTTCTCAGTGGAGCGAGTGAGGAAACAAATTTAAAAAAACAAAGAAAGATATATTGCGTCACGTGAAAACGAGACGCAAGCACCAGTATCCAGTTGGAGGACCATTCACGACGATCGGAAAAAAACGCTTGGCGATTGAGCCTTTTCCAACGCATCCGCCAAGATTTGGAACAGTCTCCCGCAATCATTAAAATCAAAGCAAAATTTGAACAATTTTAAGACATTGCTTAAAACTCTCTATTTTAGAGAAGTTTTTAATTTATAATTTCTTTTTAGTGTTTCATATTGTATACATCTTCTCATTTAAATAAGTAGCATAGTAATTTCGTATTCAGTTTTAATATGTAAAGCGCATTTCATCATATCCTCCTGTATGTTAATTTGCGCGATATTAATATTAAATATTATCATTATTATTAAGGGAGTTATCTTTATCGCCCATAAGTCTCTTGTGGCGCTTATTTTTCAATTGAAACCCCTTCTTAGTTATCTCAAGGACATTTCCTCGCCAATAAATCACTTCACATGCCCTGTTAAGGTGATTTCTCAGAAATAAAACCATCGAAAAATTTTTTTTAACCTTCCTTAAATGTTCCCTGCCCATTTTTTTTTCGAAAAATTTAATTAAAAAGGATAGGTCACTGCGCTTGTTTAAGAGATATGATGAGCCAAACGTACGCCATTTATGCCTGTACTGACACTATCACGCGCGCCATTTCATTGGTTCAAGTTATATTTTGTGGTAGCTGGAAGCAAGGGTTCTCTAAAGTAACACTTGAAGTGAACTTGATAGGCAGAAAATATTGAGTGAGTGGGGCAATATGATTTAAAGACAGTCGTTTGCTGCCGAGTGACTCTTTCGATACAGAGATTATATCCAGGTTGTACTGGATTGATCCATTTACCTACATATGAGTGAGAGAACGTCGTGATCCGAAAAAAATATACAATTAACTATGTGGTAAGGGCTCTGGAATTGTAATCTCGGCACTGATGAAGGAAATGAGCCAAACGAGCCGGCTCGATTGGTAAACGCATAAAAGTGGCCCTGTGTTTTTAAGTTTAGCCCAATATTTCTTGAAAGAAAGCTCGACAGCCACTTTCTAGATGAATCCACCAATTCCAGGTTTACCTGCGGTCAAACCACTCTAATATCGTTTCTTATAAATATGGTAGATTATAAAAAATTGTAACCTTTACCGATGGCAGAACGATTCCAGCTAAATCGCTTCACTGACAGGCTCACACTGCGAAGTCATACAGGTACTCTCGAACAAAAATCCAAATTGAGGGGAAATGTCAGGTGTTTGAGCGCAGGCTGGAATGCCTTTGAAATTAGGTTGTTTCGCTTAATGCAGAGTTGTCATCACAAATGCAATTCTGTAAACCAAGTGCCTCTATGGATATTTACTCTCCATCACGAACTTTCGGGGCTCAGATAAAACAAAGAAGTGGGAATTATGCTTCTGTTTCATCGTGTGATATTTCGCTCATAATCAAGAGTGAAAAACGGCCTTCGATTATGCTTTTAGTACGCTCGCCTCTGTGATCTTTACCTATTTTAAGGGCCAATCGGTCATAAAACTAAGGAGGAAAGTTCCATGACAGAAAGTACGTTGTCGGAAAGTACCGCAAAGCACCCTGCGCCAGATCTTGCGAGACACACTCTTGCTCCCTCGTGTTAATTACACAGTCGCCAGTCCAGAATTTACCCAACGAAAAAACAAAACAAAAACATGCTCCGATTATTGGTTTCCTTCTTGCCCAGTCTCCCTTCTTCAGAACTTTCAAATGATACACCTGCCACCTGGGGAAAGTAGATCGGATGATTTTTAAAATTTTTGTCGTTGTCGTTGTTGCCTTTTTTTAGAGGGAGGGGGGGGGGGGGAAGGGATCACATGGCTTTCGGTAGGAATAGAAGAAAGGTACTTAGGGGGAGTCAAAGAGATATGAGAGTCTGGATTTGACTCTTGAAAACTACTGACTCTCACCAATCAGGCGAGATTGTGGCAGCGGTCAAAAATTTATGACATCACTGTGCACAAAAAAGTCCGAAAAAGAGTATGTGTTCAAGACCAAACAGTTATCCAACAAAAATAACCTTGCAATCATTGGCTACGGGGACAGTTTCGCTTGGCGAAAAAGAAATACAACACAACAACTCAGTATGCGTCCAACTTCCTTGTATTCTTAGAAACAACGACTACATCGATTTACAGAAAGGATCAATCTAGCGATTCGTAGTTACTGCTTCCTATAGGATAGCCTTTAAATCCTTTCCTCAAAACTAAACTCAGAAAAACAAGGCGTGGAAAACTGCGCCCTAGCTGTGATAGAGACCCTCAGCAGTTAGGACGGCAACGCCAAGGAAGACGTCGATTTAAAAATAAATATATGTTTTTAGTTGGAATCTCGCGAATGACTAGATGTATTTACCATCTGTTACAGCACCACAAGTTAACCGCAGCATAACATATGAGAGCGGCGTTGAGTTCCAAATGGAAACTAACATAATTTACCGTTGGGGTTTCATTTCTCAGACCACGCAAATTTGGATAATTTCCGTTCTTATTTTGCTAAGGAAGGCTCACAAATGTACACAATTCTTTTGTTTTTACACAGATCTTTTGTTTTTGCCACGTCCTCGTTTCCTTCGCCGTCATGGTTTGCTAAAGATCCCTAATTTATTTTCAGCGGTGCTATAGGATGCATACATCTACAACGAATCATACAACTATAACTATGAACCTGGTTAAGCACGCATTAACGCTTTACACCCTAACATCAGTAAGCATATTCTCCCCTCTGTTCTCCTTACGTTTCCTGAGGTGCTGACAGGGAGAATTTGTTGAACAATCGAGATCATCTTTAGTTGGTGATTGTTTCATTTATTCTTACGACCTCACTTCGTGATTCAGGTGTGAGGTTGTAAGGAGAAATTAGATGCTAGTTGCTCTTGGGGGGTGAAATAAAGAAATAGAGAAATTCGACAAGAAATAACACGTAGGCATGTGGTCTAAGCAATCTGCGATGATCGTACCTCGCCTGCAAACATTAACGGGTTCTACTGCGGCTTGCGTAACCCGCTTTTAAGTTTAAAAAAAAACCTCGAAATCGAAATTGCCGACCAGGGAAATTGAACTAAGGTCTGTCATGAGTTTTTATCGAGTCTTCTGAGACTTTTCAGGATTTTTCGTGTTTCTATTGGCGATCAGAATTTCCAGTTTTCAGAGTGTGGATATAAAGCATCACTGATACTATTGCCAAACCAATTAAAAACGGTGGGAGTCTTGCTAACTTTACTTGCCTCTCTAACAGATGTAGCACCAGCATCACTAATACTGTTAAAAGACAAATTCAAATAGGTCAGAGTCTTGTTGATTTTGATTGCCTCCGCAATAGAACGAGCACCAACATCACTAATACCATTGCGAGACAAATTCAAATTGGTTAGAGTCTTGTTGACTTTGATTGCCTCAGCAATAGATGAAGTACCGGCATCACTGCTACGATTCTTAGACAAATTCAAAGAGGTCAGAGTCTGATTGACTTTGACTGCCTCAGCAAGAGATCTAGCACCGGCATCCCTAATACCATTAAAGGATAAATCCAAATGGGTGAGAGTCTTGTTGATTTCGATTGCAAAAGCAATAGACTCAGCACCGGCATTACTAATACCATTGCCAGACAATTTTAAATGAGTGAGAGCCTTGTTGACTTCGATTGCCTTAGCAATAGATGTTGCACCGGCATCACTAATACGATTGTTAGACAAATCCAAGCAGGTGAAAGTCTCGCTGACTTTGATTACCTCTGCAATGGACTTAGCACCGGCATCACTGATACCATTGCCAAACAATTTCAAATCGGTGAGACTCTTGTTGACTTTGATTGCCTCAGCAATAGATGTAGCACCGGCATCACTAATACGATTGTTAGACAAATCCAAAGAGGTCAAAGTCTTGTTGACTTTGATTGCCTCCGCAATAGATGTAGCACCGGAATCACTCATACATCCAAAACACAAGCCCAAAGTAATTAGGGTCGCGTTGGCTCTGATTACCTCGGAAAGGATTATCGCCAGTCCTTCACTTAGGAACTGATATTCGACATAAAGATCTGTTTGGTTCAAATCGCTACCAAAACATCTTGCTAGCCGTAGGTGAAAATCATCTTGCTTTCTTTTACATTCGTTGATGGCCTCCAACAGAAATTTGACACTCCGATAGTTTTTGCTGGCGGGATTGTTAACCCGCTTTCCTAAACTGGAGACAAGAGCTTCAGCTTCTTGATCGGACTGTTCTGCTAAAATGCCGCACGAGAACAATAGCACCTGTGTGGTAAGGAAATATTGGTCATCTGAAACTAACTCCTTAGGGGTAGTTCGTTTATCTTGAATCTCACAACAGAGATAGAATGCTGCGAAGCATTCTTGAAAGGTTTTGTGTAGAAATGCATAACGCAGACGCCGCCTCAGTTTACTTCCTCCGGGATGAACTGACAGAAATCCGAAGGCAGCCAAGTCGCTGGCATGCTTTCCTAATTCATTCTCTTCAAAATCCAACTTGTCTTGTTTTAAACCATTTAACGCTATAAATCCAAGGGTTTTCAACTGCGGTTTGTAAAGGTTTGTAAGATCTTCTTTCGTATCTGGTAGTTCTGTCTTTTTCCTATATCTTCTTAAGACACATTCAATCATATTCAAGAACAGCGTAGTTCTCTTTTCCGGAAGGGTACCATCGAATTCTTCGCACATAACGCAAAGCAGGGCCGTGTTCAATGGATTGGCACACATTTCTCTTAGGTTTTCATCGCGTGATATTCGTGCCGAGAGCTTTTCAGCTAACTCTGACTTTTCCTTGAAGTATTTGGCGATAAATTCTCTGGCTTGTGCTTCAGTAAAACCTTCGACCTGAAGCAGGGTGTCACAGAATTTTCTTACCTTTACTCCAGCTTCGTGTCGTGCTGTTGCCACCACCTTACAATTCTGAAGCACTCTTCCGGCAATTATTTCTGAAACCATTGGCACTTTACTGGAAGGTAACTCATCCAGTCCATCTAATATTAATAAAATGCTGGATTGGTTGGCACGAATAAATTGGAAGAATTGCTTTTTGACGTTTTCGTCGATATCTCGGGGAAGAAGCTGATCATCAATGGCTTCCCAAATATCGGACTTGATATCACGACATTTAAGGAACAACACTACTTTTATGTCTGTGACACAATCATGGGTGTTCTGCTTTTTTGTAGCCCAGTCATAAACGTACTTTTTACAGTAGGTAGTTTTCCCTATTCCAGGTTTTCCTTCAATTAGCACTGTTTTCGGTTCTGAACATTCTTCATGTGGATCCAAGAGAGACGACATGGTAATGATCTTGTCAGTGACTTCTCCTCTCGTTTTCTTTCTTCTGACCACTGTGAGCCTTGTAAAAATATCACCGACAAAATACTGAAACTCTTCACACCATGGAAATGGTGAAAGCCATCCCTCGCGACTCTCGTACAGCTGGCGAATTCCATCGATTAGCTCAGTTGGATCAAAAGCACCTGAAATAAATCAAAGTGACACTGGAAAACTCGTAAATATACTGTACAGAATATAATTAAAATACACAGCAATTTTTCTAACAGCCGAGGATCCTTTTGAACAAGTCGCAACGAGGAAAAATATCGTGCGAAAAGAACTAATTTACGGAAACAAGTTCAACTTCTCTGAGAAGTAACTTACCAGTAAAGGTCGCTAAAAGGAATGTCTACTAACAGTAATACCACAAAAAAACCGATGTTCAGGTGCACGAAGGCGGCAAGTACAAAGTGATATGTACAAGCTGGTAGTTGAAAGAATTTACTGTTAGCTTTATCTTTTTAAAAGCATTATGACGACTACATACAATTATTCACCAATCTTCACAGGTGAAAAGTGCCCTTAAGGGTAGTTTTTCAACAACTGACCTTCATCCTTGCAACCCTCAGCTGAGACTGCCTGGTTACCCAGCTTTTCATTCAACTCCTTCATTTCAATCTCCATCCTGGTAAGTTTGGTGTCCATTAATTTACTGAATTCCTGTAGTGACTGTTTTAAGCTCTCTACAGATTGAAATGTAAATGTCAAAACGTCAAATCAAACAAATCTTTAAAACTTCAAAACACCAGGGCTCGAAAACTTTTTGTCGACTAGCAAAGTTTTGCTAGTAAGATTTTTTTTACTAGCAAAAGCCATATGTTTGCTAGAGGATACAGACTCGCAACTTCGAAAAACCACTCGCATTTTGCGAGTTTGCGAGTGCTAATTTCGAGCCCTGAAACACTTCAAACCAGTTGCCAAATATATGTAACATATCGTTCGTAATATTTCCTTATCTATCGTTGACGCTGTTGTCATCGTCGATTTTGACGAGGTCTCTAAAGGTGTGCTTTGATCAAGAATGGAGCAAAAATTAAACGGAAATACCACCTTGATGATTTTAGCATACATTCCGACAAAATATTTCCATATGGTTTCTTAGTATGTTTTAATCGTCGATTTCGAAACTTTGAAGCCTTTTTCTTTCCAAGTGAGTATTCTTTAGCGCATTTCCTCTTCGTTTTTAACCTCTTTTCGGGTGTATTTTGATCAAGGATGGGGTGAAAAGAAGAATGCAATTGCCTTTGGCAGAAATTCAGGCGCAAAAAGCCTTTGGCAGGCTTTAGCATTTGATATGGCGACTTTTAAAAACTAGCGGTTAGATGTGGGATAAAACGAAAACAAATCCACTATCAATAACATGCATGGCCTTCGTTTCCTACCTCCACCCTGACAAGTTAATGAGCAAGGGCAATATTCCTTGTGGAGGAAGGGGCGCAAATTCTCGACCAATAAAAACCAACTGGTGCACGGTTCGCCGCTAATATTACAGATCTCTGATTATTTTTTTCTACTGCAAGAAAACGTCGCGAGAACAATAGGCATTCTGGACGATGAAAAAACCCAGCCAGATCATTTTAGCAAACGGCCTACAACGAAACGCCATCACATCATACTTTCGAGTTTTTAAGGTACACATCTTAGTAACGCAAGTGTCGCGTTTTTAAGGTACAAAAATAGGATGCATTTATCAACGAATACCCGATGACTTCCTAACAGGCTGCCCTTCTTGAACAAATTAGAAAGAGCACATTCTAGGACACTGCTCCATGTAAAAGGCATTGAAAACAGGTCATCTTACCTTCAATCTCTTCGAGTTTGTTCTTGATGCTATCGTCGTCTTTCTTCCATTGCTTCATCAGTTCGCGATAATGTTCCTCGATATCCGGATCCATGCAGTCGTGCTCAAGATTGTCGATATCAACTCGAAATTGAGCTCCTCCCAGTCTCACCAAAGCTTCTCGTATTTCCTGCCAATAAGCACTGAAACTACTATCATCCACAAAGGCTTGAGAAGCATGGCCGTATACAGTGTTCCTGTAATACTTCACCCTGGCGATGTCATCAGCGATGCTTGTGCTTGCAGGTGAGGGAAGATTATCCCAACCAGTGGCAGGAGGACTCAAACCACAGATATTTCTAAGTAGCACTGTCAGGAGTGTGATGTCAAAGGCTGCGGATGACACGGGCGAATGGGCAGGGTAAAGCTTCCCCCATTGAGTGGGATTCAGCACTTTCTTCTTCCCTCTGTACAGTGTTTGCAATGTAGGGTAGTGCACAGATTTACTTCCCAAAACTTTTTGTAGATTCGCCGGTGGATGTATTTTGTCAAAAGTGGATCGCAGTACCTGAGATCCAATACCTGCCAGGAGACGGCAAAGCCTGGCATAATTGGTTGTCTCTTTTGAAGAAGCAAATGACGAGGAGGAGGCAGCCATGAAAATAACCTCACCAAGAAAGTGTCTGTCGAGCATGCAAATTAATATTTCACAAAACTAGTAAATATCACTCTTACAATAAAGCTTTTGAGATGTAAAGACTGAGAATGGAAAATGTTGGTAATCATCATGGGTGTTTTATCTTTTGAAGTCCCTATCACCGACGAAGGGACCATATTTTGGACATTTTTGAAATGGCTTTAACGAGAGATGTTAGATCTTATTACAACTTTTTAACAGTTGTCTTCCAATTTATACGATGCGAACTATAAACAAAACTAGAAAGCAATCACTAGTTTTTGGGATTTTTATGGAACTGCAATCAGATAAGTATGATCTCAATACAACCATGAATAGCTATAATCCAGTTCACCCCGAGCAAACTGTAAGCAAAAGTAACGGAGACAAACACGCCTGGAATGTTCAAATGTAAGCAATTCACGGCAAATATCTCCTTTCCTCTCAAAAGCGTTAGAAGATTTCCCGACAGACAGGCAGCCAGCCAGGCAGCCAGGTATCAATTGCTTTAAACAGGTTACACAAGACAATTTATGAACTAAAGTAGAAATAAATGGACTAGTTTTAAGGATTTTAATAAAGCCTTTAATTTATCGAGATGCACTTGATCTCAAAACAAACATGATAAGTTTTATTCCAGTTCACCCCATACAAACTGCACACAAAAGTATTGGAGATGAAACACTACTGGAATGTCATAGGGGGAGCAATTTACTGACAAATGTTCCCTTTCCTTTCAAGTACAAGAGAGGACTTGCGAGCAGATGGTCAAGTAGGCGAACAGACAAGCAGGCAAGCAGCTGCACAGCCAGGCTGCAAGGTAGGCAGATGGTGTGTAATGTATGTGGAACAGTGCTACCTAACCACACAATCAATAATAGTACGACCATCACTAACCTCTATTTAATATCATTATCAATACTGGAAGTAGCATAATCAGCACTATCAAGCAGCTCTGGTCACAAATCATGTCATAACTCATAATCTCATCAGCACCAATGCAAGCTTCTCACAATTTATTAGTTCTGGATGAATCCATCAACAGCTAAAATCTAAACAGCTGCCTTGGAAGCACTAATTCACATCTGTTGCCAAGCTTTTCCCCCACTAAATAGAACAACTTCCATAACTTCCTCATTTAGTTAAAAATAAGTTTATCAATTTGCATCACACCAAGCAGATGCAACCTCTGCTGGTGACTCCTTCATGACACATTGTGGAACATGACTTCCTTTGTGGTACCTACATTGTGGTGACATGATTACCATCATGGTACCAAGACTGTGGTGACATGACTACCATTGTAATACCTACACTGTGGGGACATGACTTCTTTTGTGGTACTTACATTGTGATGACATGGTAACTAAACTGTGGTGGTATGACTATCATCATAGGACCTACACTGTGGTGACACCACCACCATTGTTGTACTTACACAGTAGTAACATGACTACCATCATGGTACCAACACTGTTATGGCATGACTACCATCATGAGACCCACTATACTGTGGGGACATGATTACCATTGTGATATTTACACTGTGGTGGCATGACAACCATTGTGGTACCTACACTGCCGGGACTTGACTTCCATGTTGGTACCTACGTTGTGGTGATTTAACTACCATCATTGTACCTACAACGTGGTGACATGACTACCATCATGGTACCTACATTGTGATAACTTGACAACCATTGTTGTCCCTACACTGTGGTGACATGACTTCTAACCAGGTTACCATTATGGTACCTACACTGTGGTGACATGACTATCTGACTGACTGAATGACTGCGGGAACATTACTTCCATTGCGGTACCTACATTGTGGTGACATGACAACCATCTTGGTACCTACACTGTGGTGACACGACTACCATTGTAATACCTACACTGCTGGGACATGACTTCTTTTGTCGTACTTACATTGTGGTGATATAGCTACTAACATGGTAATTAAACTGTGGTGGCATGACTACCATCATGGGAGCTACACTATGCTGATATGAGGATAGTGGGGATATGACTCCCATTGTGTTACCTACACTGTGGGGATGTGACTTCCATTGTGTTACCTACATTGTGGTGACATAACTACTAACATGGTAACTAAAACACTGTGGTGACATGACTACTAACATGGGTACCTACACTGTGCTGGCATGACTACCATCATGGGACCTGCGATACTGTGGGGAGATGATTACCAGCATGGGTCTTACACAACTATTTCAAACTAAGGATGGGGTGAGGAGGGTTAGTCAGTCATTAGGTTTGAGATTTGTATCTTCTGTACCAGAATTTATCATGAGAAATTAAGATGTCTTCAGTATTCTTTTTCCCATGGCTCAAGGTTTTGGCAGATCTATGGATATGGGCATGTACCTTTCTTGCATATTCAAGATTCAAGTTTGTTTTATGCTACACATATTTTTTCAAAAAGGTTAAAATTATTTTACTGGAATAAAACACTAGTCAGCTGCTGTGAGATGGTGGTTTACAAATTGTAGAGCTAAGAGCATTCGTTAAAAAGTATAAATTACTTATAACAACACCTGACAAAATGTGGTTGTTTTAAATATGTAAACAAGATTTATAATCAATATCTTTCTTACAAAACACTAAGAATAAAGGGTGAAAGCCATCAAAACAAATTAAATAAACTGTATCGGTGGGAAGTTTGCTTTTATAGTATCATTAATTAACCCTTTTACTTCCAAGATCTCATTGGTTAGTCTTCTTACTCTCTGATATACAATTCTCATGATGTTAGTTTGGAGAATTTGGTATTGGATCACTAATAATCCCCTGATTGATATAGTTCTTTACTCTCCTCACTTGTCTCCTTAATATTGTATTGATACTGTGAGGAAAACTTCTCCAGTGATTAGTCAGGGGAGTTCAAGAAATTGCAACTATGCCCATTAAAATGGTAGACAAAGTCAAATTACTTTTCAGTTGCATTTATTTTTATCTTCATATAAATTTGGTTTAGTTTGATTATTTCAGTAATCAAGAACCCAAAAGAAGACTTGGTTGACCTTTGTTGCATACCAAACTCAGTCGCACCCAATCCAACAGCTGATTCCATTTTGTTCAATTGACTTAGCCTTTAATTCCCAAGATCTGATTGTTAATTCTCTCTTCTAGCTGCTAAACATTTCCTTATAAATTAGTTTTGAGAATTTGGTGTTAGATCAAGATAAAAAAAACTCTACCTCTTAAGTGTGAGTATTCTCATTACCAGTTTGCTGGATAATGTATTGATATTAAAGGGAGAGGTTACATGTCAATCACTTCTGAGAGTAAAAGGGTTAATATATCAGTAATCAAACTCACCACATAGGAGCCATTTAGCTTCTTTGGATCAGTTTAGTATTTTTATGTTAGATTTAGCTTTTAAGGCAATTCATGAATTAGTGCTACTGTATATTAGTGATTTAATTAGTGTTACAGTATTGTGCAAAAGTAATGCAAGCGGAATTCGGCGAATTTCGTTATTTGTTCTAACGATCTTTCGTCGAAAGTTCGAACGAAAATTCGATCGAAAGTTCAAGGCCTGTTAAGCGACATTTCGTCTGAACAAAGGACGCTTTTTCGATGAATTTTCGCCACGAAGCGAAAATTCGTGGCGGAAAGTGTCTCTTCGATCATTAGTGTTCGAAAATTCGCTTCGAACTGACAGTAGCCGTGTGCGAGTGATCAAGTTTGTTTACTTTTCATGTAAGCAACACGAAATGTTATCAAACGTATTTCCAACCTTTTTCACCACGACAGAGACACTTAATATTTAAGACTAAACACAGCAATTGCGACCAAGAGACATATATTTGGTGGAAATAAACTCTCAAATGATTGGAATCGTTTTAAACATTAACTTCAGCACTCCGCTTTTAAACCAGACAGAGCAGAGATCGTGTTTTGAGTGTTTTCAAACGTTGTCAATCGAGAAATGTGTTCCTTGTTTATTCGTTCTCAATCGCTACGCAAATAGACAGCATCCATATCGCTGATTGCTTTCCAGATATCATTAGACCCATATTTTATATTTATTCTTCACAATTTACATATATATAAAAAACGTGAGCTTCAGAGCGCGTGCAGTATTTTAGCATTTAAGCGTTCTTTGTTCGTTTTGATCCTACACAATCAGACGCTAATAAAAGTGTGAAATACTTTACATTTCGCAACAAAATACTGAATATTAGTAAGTGACGGCTGAAACAACTATTATTTAGGTCACGTTGCCCTATTTTTGCGTAAATTCTGGCATCTTTTGCCAATGCTTATTTTGCACAGTTTCTACATACACTGTTCGCTTCCATAGACAGCTTTTGAGGTCTTCCCGATCGAGGTAAATTTACCACGAAACTGGTGAGACGCAACTTTCAAATGATGCGCGTAGTAAAACCTAGTAACCCGTCGCGTTTCAACGCTTTCGGTATTTCAGCTGGGTGGAGGCCTTGCTTGTGGAGGGGCTTTTTTATTTTTTTGTAGAATAATTTGAAACTTTGGCCAAGATGACTACCAAAAGTAAAGTACGTAAATCATCGACACAATTGATACACTGAGTGTTTCCATGGTTGCAAACAACATAGGTCACGCGGAGGACTCAAATCGTAGCGGGAAATTCCATGGGAGTTTTACGTAGAGCAGTACCGAACCACAAATTCAGCAAAATCTTTATGAAAGAATGAACAATTGCAACGAATTATCGCCCCGAATATTCGCCGCATAGAACGAATTTTCGCTCGAAATTTCGAGTCGCATTAATGCACTAGTCAGTGGAAAGCCCCGCACCTCCATACCCGGGGATGCGGGTCATTAGCAGGGGATTTTAGCGGTTTTTAGTGGTCATCTTTGCCCCAGTGTGCGGGGTGTTCGACAACATTAGACACAAATAACAGCGACCGGGGACCGTTAGCGGGGCTAGCGGGGCTTTGGCGGGGATTTCGCTTTTGAATAGGCCTGCAAAGAACACTGGGAAAGCGTATGATCTCAAAATGGCGGCCGCCAACAAGAAGGTATGTACGATTTAAAATCCATTCTTTTCATGCTTGTAATGGGCCATCGATTAAATTCTGTGTTCAATCTCATGTCTTGTAGTGAAATTAGAAAAAGTTGGGTATTGTTTATGCCCTCGTCATGCTTGATTAGCGATTTATTTAGAGCGTTGACCTTTTGTCTTTTGGCACTTGTTTTCATTTCCGTTGCAACTGTGCCCCGGGGGCATAGCGGGGAATTTGCTTCATTTAGTTGGGACGCCTGGTCTAATGCCCCGCTATTCCCCGGGTATGGGGGTGCGGGGCTTTCCACTGACTAGTGCATAACGCCATCAAGGAATATGTCGCCGAAAGTTCGAGCCGTTCAAAACAATACATGCCTCAAAAATTCGCAGAAATGTCGTCGAAGTTTCGTTTCGGTCAAGAATTCGTCGAAAAGCTAGGAATTTCGTCGAATTTCGTCGACAGGTGTTTGCATTACTTTTGCACAATACTGTAGGGTGAAGTCCTCATACAATCTCAGAGCTAATGGTACCTTGTTACTGGAGCCGCTTAAAGAGAAATTGCTTTCAGTGCTTGGTGCTAGATCCTTTAATGCTGTTGCACCATCTTTGTAGGATAGTTTGTGCACTGAATTACGTGCTATCCCATCATTGACAATTTTCATATGCAATCAACCTACCTTTCTGTTCAGGTGTTTCTTAGACCATTTTAAAGCAGAAATTTTTATTGTATTTAAGTTTTTATGAATATTATTTAATCTGATTTATTTTATTTTATTGTAAGTCTCATATACTTAGTTGGTATACTTAGATTGTGTAGAATAGTTTTAGAGATGAATCATTGTAAAGTGCTACTTATTATTTCTATGTGATAAGGCTATAGAAATACTCAAATTATTATTGTTATCAATTGTGTTTGCATAATTTTGCTCAATTTGCCTACTCAAGCAAATTCTTCAACTGAATTTGTCTAAGTTTAATTGTCAATTTGGTTTTATCAAGGGGGTTAATTATGTAAATGACTACTGTAAAAAGTTTCTAAAGATGCAGTTTGAGCATTAGCCTTTCATCAGAGCAAATAACAATTTTTCTTGATCTACAACTGTTTGATTGTCCATCCTAAGAATATGCTACATTGCAATTAAATGTCTGAAACCACAAAATAATTGCCAACTCTCCTCATGCAACAAGCTGGGTTTTAATACAAAGAATCCTTTGTCACCAAAACATAAATAGACTAAGAGAAACAATTACTAAAAATAACTTCTCCAAGATCGGCAAAGGAAAACAACTCACTTGAGTTAAGTTATTATGATTCGGCTGATTGCATTTGTGATATGTAGCCAAAAAATCATTTGAAACCATAAAGGTCAGAAATAGACGCCACCAGAGATTGCAATTTCAAAACGCATCAGAGAGCACGAGTTCCCAGAGAAGACTTCATTTGTGAGAAACCGAGTAGTAATGAGATAAGGGAAGATTTCACCTTCAGTTTCGATTGCGTTCAAGAAATTGGCTTCTTTCTATCTAAAAACGTCCGCCTTCAACTAAAACGCAGCTCGTCTTCGAAAACTTATGTGCCATCCCTGAACTATAGCACAACAAATGCTACGAAATGTTACAGCCGCTCTGATTGCAAAACAGATCCATACTAACGTGGATGATTCGACTACAATGTTTATCGATGTTGAGTGCGTTGAGTGCAGAAATTTAATTTAGATGCATATTAAATAATTGCGTCCGTGACTTACCCTAAAATGATCTTGAATGAATTGAATGATGAAACAGTCTTTAACAAGAGGGTTCAGTGATGTCCCTACAAAGCGAAACATGTTGCGACTGAGTCAAAGAAACTGCATTCCTTACTTCAATAATTTGAGACAAACTCTAAGATTAGGGAATTAGTCCAAGGATCGAACTGTAAAATCTGCGTCATCTTCTCCACTCTGCTTAGAGCACCTAACTTAAATTGACTACTCTAAAAATGGGAAGCGTATAGCCCTAAGAATCTTACTCTTTATGCGCCCTTTCAATTTTTTGACAACTTCCTACTTGGAAAGCGATCTGTACAAGTAGGGCAACTCGTTTTCCTCTTCAAGGATCCGTCCAGAGGCGATCGAAACTGAGATTGTTGCGTCTACACAAACTAACAAGATCTCAGTATTTTCAGCTCGAAAATACCTCAGATTGGTTTCTTTGAAAAGTAATCCACCATCAATTTCAAGCTCTCGGCGCCCAGATGTAACCAAGAATTGTTTTACCACGGGTGGAAATGCTTTTCTTTTTGTCTTGCTTCAGTGCCATCGGTGATACCGCACATGTTTATGACTTTGATCACTCACTCGCGATTATGACGAGCTTACCTCTATAAGTTCGCCACGTTTGAGCCATTGTCCTGGCAAGCTCCGTCACGTTGTTCATAAACGTCTTGAGCCCGCGATCAGAATAGCTATTCCGCCACTTAGGCGTCACCTTATTTAACTCAACGTATCGTATTTCGAAGCTTGCTCGCTTCGCAAATTTAGCAGCTCTTTTGAGCATTTGTCGTTGATTGAAATGATGAAATGATCTCTTTTCGAATATAGAAAAATTTTCTTCAAAGTTTCCATGATGTGCAGATCAAACCTATTTAAATATTTCTGCAAGGAAAAAGTATATTTTTCAATTACATGCTGGAGGCGCCACTGTGAAATTATTTTGAGATGTTTATCATCTCTTGTAGTGTCACGGTTAACTTAAAAAATTGTATCTTCGGATCTACTGGAAGTAATTAGCTAATTCAAACAATAAAATGCTCTCTCTCTGTGGAAAAAATTTTTCCTCTAAATTTTCGTGATGCGCCGATCACTCCTTTTAAGACGTTTCTGCAGGGTAAAGCTTTCTTTTCTTCACGCGCCATTCTCAAATGATTGTGAGATGTTTATCGTCTTCTGCCGTACACTACGATACAAGCAATAGGTAGCGCCGAAAAACAGTGTGACTACTTGCTAATATTCCGTGTACCATTGAAAGCGATTCGAAGAAATCGTCACTAAGCGTTGAACGACCGAAGATACTCCAAAACAAACAAAAGCCAAAAGCGAGGAATATCGGGTAATACTCGGCAGACTTCGTTGTGAACGAAGAGGTCGTTCTTATTCTATCGTTACACTCACTCACTCAACAATGAGGCAGTAGCCATAAAAATCTAATTTATAGATTTAGCCAAGCCTATAAGCGGAGCTCTTATTAGTTTATTTTCCAGCCCTACGTAATTACACAGAATAAAAACTGTAATAAAACTATCTATTGGCAAGTCTTTGTATTATATTTCAACCCAACCATTTCCTCGACTTATAAACACTATTACAAAGTAATTAGTCTGGGAAATGGAAAACTTGTGGCATATACACCATGTTTGAAATGCCATGACCATGGTGAGCTAACAGGATTGAGGAAGATGTATGTGGGAATAGGCCCTCTTGTCTGTATCAATAATTTGCTAATCACTCCTGTTGGCAATGTTTTGATGAGGTTGGGCTAGCAAGGCAAAGGAACTGAGGATTTTAGTAGGCAGTGACTTTTTTTCAAATCTGGAAACTATCATCATGAAAGCCATACTTGTTCTCGGTAACTCATTCTTATTCTGATAAACTAGCTTTAAGAAGGATACAATATTTTATAACAAAAACTTGATGCATAGGTTGTGCAAAAACCTTTAATTTGACTATACTTTTATAGCCATTACCAGTCCCTTCAAATGGTAAAATGTGAGGAGGTTCAGAGAAAGAATAACCTGCCATACATCTGCAAGATTTGATGTAATTATTTTAATTACAAGAATATTAACTGATACTAGGAGATTTAATAATATTAAAAAAAATAATAAAATTTGGTTGAAAAATTGGAATTCAGCACAGGCTGGATAAACAAGATTCTTAGAAAAAGAAATGCATACTAATGAAAAAGCTAAGCAAACTTTTTTTACAACACCTGCCTGTACCTATATGGCATGTAGTAAAGTCTTTTGAAGTAGTCATAATACCAGTTTCATATGTTGAAAACACATGCACATGCAGATTTCCTGTGAACCTATAGTTTAAGCCTGTGATGACTTTGAAATTTTGATGCACACCTCAAAAGGAAAACAAATAAATTTCATGTTTCTATTTAATTCAGTTTAGGTTGGTGAGGAAAAATTGAGTCAAACATTCAAGATGTACAATGACAGGTTCAAGAAATTTTTACAACTAATTTTTAAGGTTAGCCTACCTGGAACAATCATCTTGAACT